TGTAGGGAATTATGACGAGGGAACTTGGGACGGAGGGCGCATTGCAACATCGTTGACTCATTCTGGGTTGCTCTGATCCTCCTCATCTCCTTCTCCTCCCCCACCTCCTCGTCCGTCTCCACTTCTGCCGCCTTCTCGCTTCTTTAACGATTCCGCCTGTCGCGCCACCAGACTTGTCCGTAGGACGGCCTTGGCGTTTGGCTTGAGATTTCCTATGTTGAAGCTAAGAGCGGCACCAGCTACGAGGATGGAGGTCTGGTTGTTTCCAAGCTGCGGCTCTTGCCGTAAGGTCGCGTGCGTTCCTTATCGAAGCTTGGACCACCTTCAAAGATGGAGGACCCATTGTTTTCAACATGGAGCTACCGCTGCCGCAACACGCCTGTTCGTTTCAAAGCTTCCCAAGACTTGCAATGGTGGAGGGCCGGCTGTGTTCAACATGCGGTTCTCGTTTTGGCGCCGCGCACAGTTGCTGTAACCGTTTCCAAGGACTGTGGCCGATCGCCTCGGACTTCCTCGAACTCTCTCTACTGGCCTTGGGACGCATGTTGGAAGCATTCTGGACCTCCCTTGGGACTCTTGCACGAAGAGCGCATACCCTTTCCACAACGGGGCTGCCACTCGACGCTGTTAAGGCCCAGTAAGACGACCAACGTGCTGACCCCCCCCTTCGCGACAAGGTGTGTCGCGCATTCGTCGCCCGTGCGTCGGCCGCCGAAAAGGCCAGCCGCCCTCTCGAACGTGCACGTCGCCCTCGCAAGGGGACAATTTTGTGAGTGCGTCGCCAGCGCGGCGGACACCCGCGGGGCGGATCGCACGCGCGTCGAGTCGACGCGTCCTCGAAGCTTATCATCCTACCTCTCTGCGTCTCTCCTTTGGCCCGACGAGGGACGGACCGATTCTCTGCACATCACGGGCCTCGCCCGACTGACAGGTCCACCAGGCGCTCGCCCTTCGAACGGGGGGCGCCCCCTCCGCCGCGGACAGCAATGCTCTTGGGGGACCTGTGCGGAGGGGGCTCGGGACGGGAGGGGGCACTGCAGCTTGGCTGGTGCATCCTGCGCTTACTCTGGCCCTCCTCCTCCTCCTCCTCCTCCTCCTCCTCCAACTCCTCCTCCTCCAACTCCTGCTTCTCCAACTCTTGCGTCTCCAACTCCTCCTCCTCCAACTCCTCCTCCTCATCCTTCTCCTCCTCCTCCTCCTCCTCCTCCTCCTCCTCCTCCCCCCTCCTCCTCCAACTCCTCCTCCAACTCCTCCTTCTCCTCCTCTCCTCCTCCTCCTCCTCCTCCAACTCCTCCTCCTCCTCCTCCTTCTCCGACCCAAAAGGGGCATAGCGCTCGGAGCTTGCCGGGCCAGGAGCTCAGACCTTCCCTCGTATCCCCCTCCCTCCTCTCCCCCCCCACTCCCATGCCCCCCCCCACCTCCACATCCATGCCCCCCTTTTCGTCCTGAATCCTGCTCCCTCTTCCGCTTCCCCTTTCCCACTTCCCCCCTCCTGCCTTCCCTCCCCCGCCCAGCCATTCTCCGACCCCCGCCAACAGACAGGACCACCGAGGAGAGAAAGACTTGCCCAGAAGCTCGGAGCACTCCGACGGGTGAGAAGCGAAGAGTTCTTCGAGCTGCCCCTGGCCTACTTACGCAAGACGAAAGATTTTCCTCTTGAGGTGAAAATGGCCATGAGGAGTTCGCGAGACAACGTCGGCGCCGCCGAACGAACGGCGACCGGACGAGCTGTTTGCAGCAACCGGGGGGGAGGGATGTATGTATTCATGTTGTATGAGGCCCGCTCGCGCGGGGAGTTGATGGGAGTGCGCGAGACGACGCAGGGCCCATCGTGGAAAGTTGATTACCGACCCCCCCTCCCCCATAGAATCTGAACACGGGCGGTTTGCGGGGTCCGCGGATCCGATTTCTTCCGGTCCCCTGGTTTCATTTAATAATGCAAATTTAAAACAGGGTAGAAATTGGATCCGCCGTAAAAAATAAGACTGGACACGGATCGAGTTACTCCGAAATCGGATCCGTACGGACGGAAATCGGATCCACCGAAACAAACACCAAAGCCACATTTGAATCCGCGCGAACTTCATGGGATCCGACGGCGGCTATCTCATACGGGTCTGCTCAAGACTTCACACCGTCGTGCCGAGCCCAAGAGGAAAACACTGTCGTCCTGGGGATGTAAGGCGTCCCGAACCCTTCGCTCCACCTTGGCGCCTCCTGGGCCTCGTGAGGGGCACGTCTCGCGGCGCCCGAGAGGAGGGGGCGGGTGACAGCCGCAGTGCGACGCACGGATGCCCAGATTTCGGGCCATCTCTGGGGTCTCTGGCGGCCCTTCGAGACGATTCGGGCAACCATGAAAAGCTCTTGCCGAGGCGCAGCTGCTAGGAGGCATCTCGAGGCGAGAAAATGCCCAAGAGCCAGCGAAAGCGTCCGAGCACCTCGTCCAGAGACCTCCGACCTCGAACGTCAAGGTCGACGAAACCGACTGAGGTGGCACCGCTTCCGTCCCTCGCGGGGGGGGGAGCTCTCGGGTCACGGCAGCAAATGAGTCGGGGCACCGGGCTCCCGCGGCAGACCATGGCAGACCGCGTGAGCCTGTGAGCTCAAGAACCGTTCTCCCTCTTCCTCCTCCTGCTGCTGCTCCTCCTCCTCCTGCTGCTCCTCTCCTCTATCTCTATTTCCCAGTGCGGTCGACGCCAGGGACCCCTGGCAGCTGCTCAAATCCGCCCCTCCCGCGGGAGGATGACAGGATATGACAGGACGCAAGAAGATTTTAAACTTACTTCAGCGCAAAGTTGGCTGGCGACGCTGTAGCACATCAAGCTTCAGGTTCCAGTCCGCTGCGCCTGTAAGAGCGAGCTGCTGCTCCGTCCACTTCTACCCCCCAAACTCCGCACCCACCAAGCTCCACCGAGTCCCCCGCCAAACCACAATGCGGCTTGAAAGGCCAGCCGTTAGAGTGGTCATCAAGCTCGAGGTCGAACGGGCGGGCATGACGGGGCTCCCCGATAGACCACCCCATGTATTGGGGCGCCCATCTTGGGAAGAGCAGTTGTGTGGCGTCGGAACGCATCCGAACGGGGTGACTTGGGGCATATCTTGCAGAAAGACTTGATACCGCCCCCGCTACCGTGGATGTCAGTCCACAAGAAACCTTCCACAAGAAACCCAACCCTGAGACCCCAAGACGTCCACTAATTTTTGGTGTGGGAACGTCGCGCGCTCCATAGCAAAACCATCGAAACCCAAGAAACCCAGGGCACCCTGGAGGCAAGCAGGGTGTTTCTTGGCATGGGTCTCCACTGTAGGTGGTGCAGGGAAGACCAGTGGGGCCCTTGGACCACACGGCGCCCGTCGCTGCCGAGCACGGCCACCCTCCTTCCAGCACGACGCGTGAGCCCCAGAATAACCTCCGAATCAGCCCGCGCTGCGGGAGACAGTGAAGGGGCCCAGGACACACAAATAAGTACACACACATGAAAAGATTACCCATATTTCCCCATATTTTCTGGGTTTATGTCTTCCCCCCAACTTCCCATATGTTCCTACACTTTCTGGGGGATCGAGGATTAATTGTGTCTGTGTGTTTCTTTTCCTCCTGGGACAGGGCGAACACCAGACGCCCAGCTTTGGAGCTCTGGGGGTGGGGGAGCTGCTGCTTCAGGAGACTGCCTCTCTTGGCCTCAGGGGCCACCGCCGCCAAATCCTCGGCATCCCGACGGCCCCTGGAGGCCATCGGGACTTCTTGCTCGGCGGCCCATCGGCCAGACTCTCGAGCCATCTGGGAGAGGACGCTGGCCGTCTACCTCGCTCTGGCAGAGCTCGGGTGGCAGGCAGCACCCATGCTGGCACATCTGCCGGCAGAGCCCGAACCAAGCTTGGTGAAGTGTGGCGGTCCTCTCCATCTTCCACGTCTGCCCGGCAGCGGTGGGCTTCGATCTCAGTGGCAGGCGGGCTGACCCCATCGAAGGCGTGAAAACATCTGCACCAAAGATGGCAGCGGGAGCAACTTGAGCTCAGCGCAAGCGATGGGCATCGCAGCGCTCCCACCGTGCCGTTACCAGTCGGGAAAAAAAGGAGACATCCGTGACATCAGCAGCTCCACATGCTGCCATGCAAAGCGCACTGCCTTCCCCGCCCCTTGCAGACTGGAGTGGGGCTGCTTCTAACGCGACCGCTCCGTAGCAAGCTGCTGCAAACTGGCCATCCTTTGTGACCATGGAGAGGGCCCAGCCCGCTCGGGCCATCGGGGGGGGCAGCGGGGTCCAGACAGAACCCGTCCGAAAACCACCCGTCCGCGGAGCACCCCATCCCCGGGCCGATTGACCCAATGAGTTCCCGCCTGGCTTCGCGGGAGAAGGGGAGGAGCCAGCTCGAAGGGGAGGGGGAAGATGCTAGCGTCCACCCTCTCCTGCGTGCTGATGCCAGGACTCCGGTTGTATCGCCGCCTGGAGCAGCGCTGGGATGCATGCAGTTGAGCGCTCCACGTGCGTAGCAGGACAGACATAACTGCGGTGCCACAGTGTGCCAGGGGCACCCTTACAAGGCAGGCAGGGTGGGTCTTTGGATAACCCGTGCTCAGACAGGCGGGCCTGCGTCTAAAGACTGTGAAACAAGGCTTCGCAGCGATTCCTGGTGGTGGTTAGTCCAGTGGGCCCTCACTGGGCAGGAGGTCCAGGACCTGGAGGGGTCCCCAGACTACTGGCCTGGTCAGCACCATCGAAGCACGACAGGCCGTCAGGGCCGCAAAGTCCGATCTGTGCTGCGCAGCTGTCTTCGGGAGCGGCCAAGAGGGGGGTGTCCAAGAGGGGGGGGGTGTAAATCATGACCGGCAGCATGTGCGCGGCCCAGCGGGGGTGCCTGGGACGTAATGAAACAAGAAGAGGCGCCATTGAAATCTGAGGAAAAATCATGGCCCGCGCCATGAAATCCACCCCCCCCTAGTCATCACCACCCTCTTTTCCGCTCCCGATGTCTGTGCAAGCCAGGGCACTTGGCGAGGGGCCGGTGCAAGCAGGTCTGGACCTCTGCCGTCTTCTGACATCGAACTGCGTGCATGTCGAATCTGCCAGCCACTGGCACGGCGGATGGTTTGACGAAGACATGCACTGGCGAGCGCTCTGCTGGCAACGACTACATCTTTCTAAGTAGGTCCTCCAGGGACCCCTCCCCCCGACGCTCCCCAGACTGCACACGCTTGTGGGCCAGCTCGCTGAACACGATGTATAACGGCTCCACCGCCACGTAGTTGCCGAACCTCCTCCCCCTCTGCCTCCTCCGTTTCATACTCCGTCTCCTCCTCCTCCTCCTCCTCCTCCTCCTCCTCCGCCTCCTCCTCCTCCCCATCCCTCTTCCTTTTTCGCTTCCTTTTTCTCCTCCTCCGCCTCCTCCTCCTCCTCCGCTCGACACGCTGGAAGCAGCCGACGCGTGCTGCGACCGCTTCAGAAGGTCGGGGGCGAGCCCTGCCCACCCCCCGAGGCACACTCCCTCCCGTAGATGGACAAAAAAGTGGAACCCTTGACACCACGCCCCCCCTTCCCCCAATTTCAAAGTTGGCCTCAAGCATTTGGCAGCACAGGCGTGAGAGGACAAAAAAAAGAGGACCCCCCAGGGCCTCCGAGAGGCCGAGCCCAACTTTGAAATTGGGGGGAGGGGGGGGGGGGGGGCGAATGCGGGGCCGAAGACGAAGGGGTTCCATTTTTTTGTCCTCCTCCTCCTCCCCCCGCCGCCCCCCCCCCCCCGAACGGACCACTGCCGCGCCGAGAGCCGCGGTGGCTCGTCCCGAAATCCGAGCCTTGCCCTCGCCCCCACGGTTCGGGCACCTCGACGGGCGGCGGGGGGCAGGGCTCGGACTTCGCCGGACGCGCGGCGAAATCCGAGCCTCATCCCCGCCTCCCCTGTGCTCAGGAGGATCGATGGCTGGTGGGGGTGAGGGCTCGGATGTGGCAAGGCTGCCGAGAGCTGCGAGATCCCTCTTCCTGTTTCGCCTCCTTTTTCTCCTTCCCACCCCTTTTTCGCCTCCTTTCTCGCCTCCTACTCCCCACCCCTCTTCCTTTTTCGCTTCCTTTTTCTCCTCCTCCTCCTCCGCCTCCTCCTCCTCCTCCTCTTCCGCCTCCTCCTCCTCCTCCTCCGCCTCCCCCTCCTCCGCTCGACACGCTGGAAGCAGCCGACGCGTGCTGCGACCGCTTCAGAAGGTCGGGGGCGAGCCCTGCCGCCCCCCGAGGCACACTCCCTCCCCCCCGAACGGACCACTGCCGCGCCGAGAGCTGCGGTGGCTCGTCCCGCAGATCCTGGCGAGGCCCCCGACAGACCCGCAGAGGCCGCGCGAGGGTCCTCGTAGACGGAGCCGTCAGTGTACTCGAAGCGGCCCTTCCCGTGCTTCAGGCCCCTGGAGTAGCACCCCTCGAACCTGCCGAAGGAGGAGGAGGAGGAGGAGGAGGAGGAGGAGGAGGAGGAGGAGGAGGAGGAGGAGGAGGAGGAGGAGGAGGAGGAAGAACAGGAAGAGGAGGAGGAGGAGGTGGAAAAGGTGGAGGAGGAGGAGACGGACGAGGAGGAGAAGGAGGAGGAGGAGAAAGAGGGCGAAGAGGAGGAAGAGGAAACGGTAACTGGTGCGATGGGGTCCCTCCTTCAAGAGACGATCGGGTTGCCCCGCCCCCGCCCCCGCAAAACGTGGCAGATCAGTTTTATGGTCTCCTCCGCTCTGTCTGGGTCAGCTTTGGGCGCTATGCTTTGGTGCTGCTTGGCTTGAGTCATGCCATGCCGCATTGTGTCGTGCCGAAGAAGGTGACGTGCAGTAGGGAGGTTGAGGGGGAGGAGTGTAACGACTGGGAGGCCGAGCTGGATGCTGATGAGGATGATGAGGATGAGGATGTACATTGATGATGATGATGATGATGATGATGATGATGATGATGATGATGATGATGGTGGTGGTGGTGGTGGTGGTGGTGACGATGATGATAATGCTGATGATGCTGATTATGATGATGCTGATGCTGACGATGACGATGATGCTGACGATGCCGATGACGACGATGATGATGATGTTTCATGTGCTGGTGAAGATGATCATGAGCATGATGATGGTGATGATGATGATGCTGATGCTGGTAAGGGTGCTAACGATGCTGATGGTGATCATGATGACGGTGGTGGTGGTGATGATGATGATGATGATGATGATGGTAATTACAAGGATGCTGATGATGATGCGGACGATGACGATGATGATGCTGATGCTGAAAGGGATGAAGCTGATGATGATGCCAATGCTGATGAAGAAGATGATGAAGATGATGACCAAACTCGCGCTCGAATAAGAGTGCCAGTGCCGACCAGGACGTGGGACTGATAGAAGGCGGTCGAACCCAGGCTTCGTTTCCTCTGGGGTGGAACCCTGGATGGGGCTGCTGCTGAAGCTGCTGATGATGATGATGGCGATGTTGTTGATGATGATGCTGATGATGGTGATGCTGATGATGATGCTACTTTTGTTGATGATGACGATGGTGCTGAAGCTGCTTCTGATGACGACGATGCTGATGATGCTGAATATGATGACGGTAACGAGGCGAAGGAGAATATGAGGACGAGGAGGGCAATACTGATGGTGATGATGCTGATGATGCTGCTGCTCATAGTGATGATGACGATGAGTGTGCTCGTCATGAGGATGACGATGATGACGACGATGATGATGCTGATGCTGCTGCTGATGATGATATTGCTGGTGCTGATGCGGGTGCTGCTGATGATGATGATGATGATTGCGATGGAGATGATGATGATGAGGGTGATGATGGTGAGGATGATGGCGCTAATGACGATAGTGATGATAATGGCGATGCTGATGATGATGGTGGCTATACGTATGATTCTGATGATGATGGTGATGATCTGTGATGATGAGGATGATGAGACGGATTGTCATGCAGATGCTGATGATGATGATGTAGATGATGATGATGATGATGATGCTGATAATGGTGATCATGATCATGGTGAAGCTGATGACAATGACGATGATGGTGATGACGATCATCATAATCATGATGATGGTGATGATGATGCTGCTGCTGATGATGCGGATGATGATGATGATGATGATGATGATGATGATGATGATGATGATGATGATGATGATGATGATGATGATGATGATGATGGCGCTGCTGTTGCTGCTGCTGCTGCTGATGCTGCGGCTGCTGATGGTGATCATGCTGATGATGATGCTGCTTATGATGATGACGATGGCGCTGATGACGCTGATATTTCCCAAGGAGGAAACATGTCATGCGAGAGAGCGAAGTAATACAGGGATGACAAGCTGCATGTCAAGCGTGCAACCCAAAATGTGACATTGAAAAGCCCTGGTAACGCCGAGAGGAAAACCAGAGCGAATATTGTGAGCGAGTGCTGCGTACTGGAATGGAGTGCTCACTGCCAGCAGGGCCTCAGACAGATCTACCTGCGCTTGAAAGAAGAGAATGCAGCAAACAACAACTCCGGATGAAGCCATCCATATACTCCGGTAATTACCACAAATTGTCACCAATTTTTGAATTTGGCGCCGTCTACAAAAATACGACGCAATGATTCTCGAGCACCCAAAAGATTAGCTTCCAAAAGCCAAGACAAAACGGACTGGGTCGAGCCACCTGTCGTGCCACGGCTGTAACGTTCCGTGCTAGCGAGCCACTGATCAAATTGTTTACGGCGCCCAACTTCCACTTCGGAGTATAGCCCCATGTAATATTGAGCTGAAGGCGCCACAACAATATTGTCAACCGAGCCAGAAGACACCCCGATAGCCGCCGATGGGGTCGCCGAGGAGGTCGCTGAGGGAGTACTGTCTTGAACTAGCTTCACGTCCCTGCCGGGGGCATTGGCAGTGCGGAGAAAATCGGCTGGTAGAGGATCTCGTGGCACACGCGGCGCCTTCGGGGTACAAAGAGAAGCGAATGTCCATGAGGAGTCGGGTACTTCCAAGCACGGGGAGGTCGAAGTGCAAACCGAGCAATCATCATGCGTTGTCGCACTGCTGGACGAGCAAAGGGGACAAGGAAGACGATGCTCTAGCAACAGCTGAACAGGTTGAACATAATTGTGCAAATCAGTCAACTGGCTGTTCCATTCATGCTTAGCGCGATTTGCTGCGCGATGGCAGCGACGGGCCGCGCTGACTTCCTGTGCTGGGAGGTCGGCGTGGCGAGTCGCAGCTCGAGCAAAGTAATGAGGAAACCCGCACATACTATTGGGTTTCTAATGTGCACCCACGACTGGACAACAGGCTGAGCACGAGCAGCAATACGACGAGCAACCGATAGGCTAACAACATCAGCGGAGCCTCCGAGGTAGCCGGGACGAAATGCACGTTCCCTACGCTCACGTAACTTATGGGCAGAATGGCGACGCACCATATAATAACTTAGAGTAAACGGGTCCACTCGGGGCGGATCGCAACCAGTGACCTGCAGAAAGCAAGGACGGCCTGAACCAACATGGCTTGAACCAAATTGGCTACGGAAGATGACGCTGATGACGATGATAATGCCGATGCTGATGCTGATGCTGATGTTGATGCTGATGCTGCTGAAAAATGATGATGATGATGCTGATGATGATGATGATGATGATGATGATGATGATGATGGGGCGGAGGAAATGCGAGGAACCGAGGCGGGAAGAGGAAAGACAACAAAAGGAAGTATGGGGAACAAATGAGGCACATGAGTAAGGATAACCGGAAGAGAAGGAGGCGGGCGAGCATTCATCCGCGAAGGGGAAATCATATGGAAAGGGAAGGACAGGGAGCAGGAAAGGAGGATCATCACGGAAAGGGAGCAGGAGAGGGAGAGTAGCATGATAAGGACGACCGACGAGGGTGTCATGCCGCAGGCGCCCTGCGGCAACCCCCTGGACGCTGAGGAAAAACAAATGATGATGATGATGATGATGAGGAGGAGGAGGAGGAGCGAACGGACCCTGGATGGGGGCAAATCAGACGTCTAGCGGCCTTCACCTGCGCTGGCAGCGCGAGGTGGCACGCGGAGCGGCACAGGCGGCGCGTTCACTGCGCAGTTTACGTTTCGAGGCGGAGAAGGCACGGTCGGGCGGCAAGAAGAGAGGCGCACGTGAGGACGCGTGGGGCGGCGGACGGTCGGGAGGAGAGAAAGGCTGAACAGCAGCAGGCGGCGGGCCCGCGCTCCGGCCTCCATGCGGCGAAGCGCCGAGACGGAGGGCCTGGCGGGCGGCGGCGCGCGCTTCACTCAGATGCTTGTACGTCGAGGCCTCGAACGCGTCTACGTCGTCGTAGGAGGCCTCCAAATCCTTATAGGTGTGGTACATGCGGTGCGCGACGGCCAAGCGGATCATCGCGTGGGAGACGTGGTTCTCGTCGCTCGGGTCGACGTTGCGGCAGCTGTCGTGCATCCCGAGGCGGGCCCAGATGCAGTTCGAGAGGCGGCCCCTGGAGTATGCCAGCGCATGCCACTTTCTAGGGCAGATGAGGTAGTGCGAGATGCTGTCCGTTGCGTGGTTCGCGCTGCACCCGTATATGCAAGGGCGCCGATCAGGTTGAACGTGGAGACGGCATGAAGTAGACCAGGCGCCAGCCAGGGTCTTCATCGTGGGCCAGAAGCGCGGTGGGGGCATGCGGGCGATCTCTGCTCGCGTGCGCCGCCAGTGGATCTCGACGCTGTTCGGAAGCCGGTACAAAGCGGTGCGGTCAGGTCGTTGAACGAGATGGCGTCTGGATGCAGGTGCTCGTTGATCTCCTCGATGTAGGTCGTGTCGGACGGGTCGGAGACAAAGTCGGCCATGTGTATTCTTTGGCGACGGATACGGTGTTCTTCAGCTGCAAGGTTGAACGCTGCCTGCGTGCCGTACGCGCGCGGAGTCCTCGTCATGTAGATATCCCTGCCGTAGCGGTTGGCGTCTGAGTCGCACCATGCCTGTCGGCATATATTGCGAGCGCGTCGACGGAGGTCTTCTTCCGAGGCAGCGGTGTAAATGATGCGCAAACTCCATCGGCGAAGATGACGGATCACAGATTGTTCGCACCAGTCCATCCAGTCGATGTCTCGGCGCAGCGTGTGGTCCCAGTTGTCGATGTACAGGTCAGGGGGCCAGTCCGAGGCCCAATGAGTAAGTACTTCAGCAAGAATATGAAGTTCGCAAGCGGCAGCAGCGCGATCAACTTGGTTTTCATCTGGCGTGGGGGCAGGGGGGAAGGTAGTAGTTGCTGAAATCGATTGATGAGGAAACGAGAGTGTAGAATTCAGCATTGCGAGTAGCAGGACTGAGCAATTGATGTTCACCACCTATTGTGGGATCTTGCCCTGCAGTGGCCATGGGGATGTACGGGGGCCAGGCCTTCAGGCGCTTTGCGATGGTGATGTCGAAGTTGTC